CTATGTAGCATTTGTAAGTGCTATTAGGTATTAGATTTGGTTTCCACAACTGTTAGATCTTTTATTTCAATCTTGGTCTTTCATTTTCTATATCACTATGCTATGTATTATTGAAGAAATTTTTTAAAAAAAAATGCATGTAATGTCGACAACTAGTGTAGAGACTCCGAGACCTAGGTAAGAGAGTTAATCATGATTTTATCCTATGCAAAGTTTTATCGAGACGTAATTAAACTACACAATAACATTCCGAATCTTACCTCCTTAACCACCACTTTATTCCTGATGTCAAGAATAATATATATATATATATATATATATATATATATTAAATTTATTATTATTATAGAGAAAATAAAAAGTTTGAAACTATTACAATAATTTAGAAGATAAGAGAATTTTGAATGCGGGACACATGGGTAGAAACCAAATACCATATTCAACCACATGCATCTTTGTTATAAGAAGAAAGCTCTATAGCATTCTATAGCAAGGTTCTTTCTTCTATCTAATTCTTTTTTGTTTTTTTTTAATGGATTCGAGGCTCTAAGTTGGTGAGTCTGCTTAATTGTGACCAAGGAGAGGCTAAAATGCTTCTGTGAGTCTTTCCGGTCTCCGAAAGGGATGAATAACCGTGACTTGCCACCAGTTGTCCCCCTTTTGAAAAAAATAAAAATAAATAAAATTAATCAACTTTGTTAAGGAGAACTAAGTCAATGACCAAAGGGCAAGAGGAGAGACTAGGGCTTGTTTGAATGTGCTTTTAAAATAACTAAAAGTGCTTTTAGAGAAAATGTTTTTTGGTTCCAAAAGCACTTAAAGTGCTTTATGCAAGAAGCACCAGTTATGTGCTTCTTCCAGGAAACACTTTAAGTACTTTTCCAGAATTTACTTGCATTTTTACTAAGGATTGGTTCCAAAAACATTTTCACAAAAAATGCTTTCAGTCATTTTAAAAACATATCCAAACGAACTCTATTTATTGTGTACTTTAGCTGGAATACGAAAGTGATCAGGTGATATGCATTTCTCGCGTTAATGGGGTGAGTTATTAATCGTAAGTTAATTAAAACTAGGGAACTTTAACGAAAAGCCCCCAATATTGTTCACTTTAACGAAAAACCACATATTTACAATAAAAAGTCAATTCTGGTACTATTCACTTTACCCTTTATTTTGTCCTTATCTTTAAAATTCAAAGTTTTCAATCATTTTTCATTAGTTTTCCTTTAAAACTATAGAGGCACACATAATTGTATATATGCATGCATGAGTGATGTATCCATGTGCTCATTGCTTGTTATTTTTGTAACATAAAAAAAAAGGAGCTGTTATTTCGAGGACGATTTATAGATGATTGTCATCCAAGCAAAAACTAAATAAGTAATACAAATAAATAAATAAAGCGAAAACAAAGAAGTCAACTACTATTAAAATGAAAATGAGAAATGCTAAAGATACTCTCTTATAATTAAATGCTTTATGAATTCTCTGACACCTCATGTTTTTTGTCACAACATTTCATAATGTTGACACGGGGATTAATGTTAAACTATGACATGGAAGAAAGTCTCATTTTAAGAGAGTCCCTTTAGCATTTGATGGTTGGATACCTTCTTTAATGATTTAGACCAAGTTCGGTAAACCACATGATGTAACAGTTGATGGTTGGATACGTTATTCAATAATTTAAACAAGTATTCCAATCATCAACGTCAAATCATACGGTCTACAAAATATGATTTAAGTAGATAGAGTCTCTACCATCACCCTTATCCAAATGATTTATAGAGTGACTAAAGCAGATCCACATGTCGAAATTTTGTTACCATATGCACGCATCGTCTTAATCGTAGTGACACACGGACACCTAGAGGTGGGCATAAAAACCACCGAACCAGAAAATTGTGGTAAAAAAAAATATTGTAAAAGCCGCGTTGATAAGAAAAGTCAAAACCAGGACAAAAACTGAACCGGACTGTCTCAAACAGTTTCCGGTTCCAATTTGAAAAATATACTAAGAACCAGAGGAACTGAAACCGGTTCAATCAAAGCATTGGTTTGCAAGCCAAAGGATTCCTCTTTGGTTTGGAGCTATAAGCAGCCCTCACAGTCCAGTTGTAACCCGAGAGGTCACTCAAGTCAAGAAAAATACAGCCCGGTCAAGTGAGGCCAGAAAAACAAGCGAAAGAAACGAGTAGGACTAGCAGAGAAATGCCTCCACTTAGACCTTTAGGTTAGCTCTCGGGGCTCTGTCCTCTAGACAGAAAGAGTAGACGGTTACCTAGAAAATTCATGAGCTAATATTCTAGTTCATTCATGTTCATTGTAAGTATCTATGTTCATTTGTTCAGTAATTCCCGCTTGTATTTGTTTCTTCTCAAAAAAAAACATTCCCGCTTGTTGACATGGTTCTAGTCTTGGTAAGGGTGCTTTTGGTGTTGATATTGAGAGCTAGTTCAGAGTTGGTCACTCTTGTGAAAGGTTCGATGACAATCAACTTTCTTTGCTTTCTATTGTTTCAACGCTCGAGGCTCTGTCTACTGAACACCAACGGTTTTGTTGATCCACTTCACCCCACACACTTGAAAAGGAGTTTGTTTGGGTTTTGAAAAGCCAGTACCATTTCGCGGCCGTACTTGTAGTTGATTTGGGAAACAGTCACCACTCTAAGAGATGTCGAAATGGCCGTAAATTTCGTCGTTAAACTGAAATGTAGCCAACTGTAAACTCGCCAAAAATGGTACTTGGAAACATCTGACTCTGGATGGATGGAGAATCGGATCACAAGTATTTACAAGAGAATGTGAATCCCTCAAATGTCACAATAATAACTCATAACTATTACTAGAGTGCAAATGTGAGAAAGACCATCCCGCTATTTCACGACTACAACGATATCTTCGAAAATAACAAGTCATTTTCCTATCATTTGTCAAACAAGGCACCAACTGTGAAAGTGACCTGAACTACTTTTACATTGACGTCTACGAGCAATGATCGCACAACCCATCTTAATTCAGCAATGTCACTCTAAAACATGGATGCCACAGAAAAGTTTGAAAATTTCGCAAACAGTAAAGTTGATGACTAGAGATGATAACCAGTAATCTAGATCATCGACGAAAAGATGAAGTAACGTATGAGCCATGTCAAGTATGGGCAAGAGAAAGGGATAATCTAGTGAAAGACCACACAATTAAATAAGGATCACCCAAGTGAAATCACAAATGATCTGACAGGTACACTACTCTTTGCTCACTCAGCAATAGCAAGGTTTGAGACTATACCTTAAGTTCATTCGGACCAGAATTTCACAAGGGCGTCTAAAAACGCTTTAAATACATCCCAAAGTGGGTTACCTTCTGGTCTGGTCTTTTTAGATGCACCTTCCCATGATTCACTGCCCAAAGAAATAATTGACGAGAAAAATTAATGATCCTGAAGTGTCAATACTGCCATGTATTTGCATTTTCACAAGTAAAAAGAAAACACTGAACTGTTACAACATATCCTTACAGGTTAATTCTGTCCAAAGTTGGTTTGCTTCCCTTCTTCAAGCTACCGCTGGTCTGGACATCAACTTCATCTTCAATCACAACCACCTCTTTGGTTTTCGATTGCTCACTACTACCACTGGTACCGTTGGTAATCTTTGTATGTAAGCTATCTGGAGCTTTGTCAGCCTGTAAATATGCACCAACAGTTGAAGTTTATTGGTCAATAAATCTGAAATTTCCACTGACATGTTTTGAACAATAATAGGTATAGCATTCTTCCCAACATTGTTAAGGAAAAAAGCGTTTTCACTCAATGGTATGGGTAATCAAATCTTTACCATCACTATCAATCTACGAGACAATGTTAAAGCATTTCCAACCAACAATAATAACACCCATACTTGAAAAGATAATATCACAATATGAAAACTGAGCACACATTTTAATCATGAATTGTGAAAATGTAAATACATGGCAATATTGACACTTCAGTTTTAAAATATGATGGGTAATTAGGAGAAAAATGGTGAAAAATCTACACACGACGTTCCAATTTGGTACTACCTTAGTTCCCGCGGTCAGCTGGTTTTGGTTAGAGATCTCAGAGGTTGGAACATCTTTATGAGGTGATTTGACATTAAGGTCTGTGCTTCCTGTTTCATGCACAATACCTTCATTAAAGGTTGAGTAACTTGAGCTTTCAACTGATGGATCTATGGCATTTCCTAGTGCTTCATCCACTGGGCTGGATTTGTTTTCAACCAATGGACTTGAAAGATTCATCGCTACATTATCATCCATGCTCTTCATGGAATATAATCTATCCACTTGCAAACTATCAACACCAGCTAACTCCATCCCTCTAGTTCCCTTGTCCTTGGAAGACTTAGTCAAATCCGTTACTTCTTGTAACCTTCCATCCAAGCCCTCAGGTGTCGCATTTACTGGCTTCAATGGGAATGTCTCCACTATCACATCTGCTGTTAAAGGATTCACATTAGACTTGGATGTTGCCCGAACGTCTTCAGCATTCTTCTCTGCTTCCGAAGGTTCAACTGTTTGCAGTTCTGTGCACATTCGTTCCTCCCTTTCTTTATCTTTCCTATCTATCTGGCTACCATTGATTAGTCCATTGTCAAAACTCTGATATTCAGGACCAATACAATGCCCATTAGAATCTATAGATTCAACAGCAACATGCTTCTCTATTTCCACAGGTCCATTTGCTTGTAACTCTGTACTTTTGGGTTCATTAAATTCTTTGTCATTCACTTCTACTTGAGTACCATTGATGATTCGTCCATTCTCAAACATCTGATGTTCAGGTGCAACTAAATGCCCATCGGAAGCGAAAACAAGTTGTTCAATTACACCCTGATTTTGATTGGTGACGAACAGCAATTCATTTGATGATATTGACAAAGTATTTTGTGGTTCTGCAGCAATGGTACCCAATGGATTGTGTTCCCAAAACTGATCAATGGTCTGCTGCTCCTCTACAGTAAACTTAGCAGGACCAAGCACTCTATTTTCCTGAATTATATCTCGAACAATTTCTCGTACAGTGTAGAAAGACCCACCAACTTCTTTGTGGGTCAGATTAAGTGATGGAAAACTCCCATTGTTTATTTTCTGATACCTGTAAGCAAGATTATTAAAAAGGCTGAACTTGCATGCTTTTAAGAATTTCACAAATGGAAACTAGAAATTCAGTAAAGTAAGACGGATGTGGAAGTCAATTGCAAGAAAACACACAATATCACTACCATATCCGAATGCTCCCATCAACTTCTAACAGGAAAGAGTACTCCTGCATATATGCCTATCAAAAGTTGGTCCAACTAAACATTATCACAAGTTTGACACAAGTATCTGTTTTATTCTTACAAAACAGGAAGATCCTTTACTATAAGTTTCTCCATTTAGGTGAACTAAACATATAGAAAATAAAAGTAAAATGTTCTTAAAAGAGTGCTTCCACAGAATAAATTTTCTAGTATTCTCAGGTGAGTAAAAAAAAATCTCAGAATCATATGTCAATCAATCAATTTGGCTGGCAACGAATCCAAGAATGCATTAATCTTCAAATTTAGTCAAAATCTATAAGTGGATATAAACGGTTATACATATTTTGTATATCCATTTATGTACTCACAATAGTTACATGATTCTTGATCATCGTATAAATAAGTACAATCATAGCTTAATTAAGATTTTGACAGAGCTTATCCAGAAGCTAGAAACAGGGAACTAAAAATCGGCCCATACCTTAAAAATATACAAATGTACAAAGTATCCTACATTTCTATTCAATTATCCTGAGTAAAGAGTAAGGAGAAGATTAGTGCCCGTAATCCTAGTAGATTTCATCAGAACTACATTGTTTAGAAGATTAGTGATTTCTCTTTTCTTCTTTTCATAAGTTACAATAGTAGAAAATATAAACAATGAAACAATGATGTTATTACTTTTTTATAAAGGATTCAACCATTGCCTTCCTCTCTTCCTTTGAACGCCGAATTCTGGACCTCCTTCCTTCAGATTCATTATTTTTAGCTAGGGCGAATGTCTGCCCAACCCAACTACCCTTTATAGAATGCATTACACTCAAAGCTCAGCACCTTCTGAAATTCAAGCCTGCACATACATAATCTTTGTGAGATATGGAAAAGGTACTTATATAAAATCCTAATAAACAGATACTAATAACCTAATACTTCACATTAGAAAATTCATTTGCAAAAATATTATTTAACTTTTTGGATATTTGGGTGGTGTCTAAGTGATTAGTATTAGCAAGTAAGAACTGAAACAAAAGAATTTTTTAAAAGAAACGAAACAATGTGATGTAAAACGGATCAAGTAGTAAGGAAAGGCCAGTGAAGCCAATCCTGAACCATAACGGAGAACCAAAATGAAGACATATATAAGCATCCGTAACCGTCATGAGTCATGAGTCTTACTTTCCACATGGAAAAAAAATGATCCTGACTGTACTAATATTATCAAAATCCACAAGCTTATCTGTCAAGAATGGAAGCTTAACCAAGTCATGAGAAAAAAGGAGAAAATATGTAAAAATTTATACCACCTTGAAAAAGTGAAAAATTGATGGCGAAATTTCTTTTGTACATGAACAACAAAAACCAAACACAATGACACCAAAAGCTGACCCAACACTTCTGGGAATCATGATTTCTTTGCAATTTGAAAATGGCATCAAAACATCGGTATTCAAAACAAGATCATGAAGAAATTTCAATACAAGTGAAATTCAGAAATTCAGAAAATCAGAAAAATAGACAGCCAGCAGAGGTAAAATGGGGAAATTAAAAAGAAGCCCAAGAAATATTTTCTTCGATCAACCGGCCGCTGCGAGTAAGTACGGTGAGCCTTGAGTAACTAAGTGAAGAAATTGAGAGTGAAAAAACACATACACTAGAAGCGTGTTGTGTGTATCTGTATATATGTGTACAAAAGACAACAATCAAAAATCAAGAGACAGTGACAGAAACAAAATCCAAGAGTAACCCACACGAGAAAACATCTATATCAACAAAACCCAACAATCAAAACATGGATTTTACACAACTCAACAACTTACAGTTGCCATGCACTTAATTATGCCTAAATTCCAACAATTAAATTACAAAAAAAATAATTCTGGAAATGACAGTCAGAATAAAGCATAAATAATGGGGAGAAAGAAGAGCAGAGAGAGAGAGAGAGAATCACCTGAAGAGATGGGGAGGATTACGTTTTGGGGTTTTTCCAAAACCCTACTACTACACTACCTACAGAGTGAGAGATGACCGAGAGAGATAAAAGCAGCAGCCAAAAATCAAAACATACAAAGACAAGGCGACTGCTATTGTTGAGTGGCAACATTGTAAATTGGCGAGGTTTTTTTTTTTTTTTTTTTTTGATGCAATTGGTGAGGGTGTGCGAGGGAGCGCAAGGTGTGTAATTTCCTTTATGTATGGACGAAGAAATTTAAGATTATTAAAAAATTTTAAAATAATAGAATTTTATTTTCTATAATTTGTGAATTATCTTGTTTGGTTAACTTGAAAAAAAAACAATGAAATTGAATACAGAATTTGTTATTTTTAAACTTCAATCATATAAATTAGAAAATAACACATATTTACCTATAATTTAAACTTGGGAATTGGAGGTTCCAAATTCCAAATTTTTTTTTTCCATGCGGAAATTCTAAATTTCTATGCTTATGAATCTAAACAAAAAAATTGGTGCATGTCAATTTATAAATTTTGATTTTTATCTAAATTCTAAGTTTTTTTATTTTATCCAAACATAGAGTAAGTTGGAAGGGTGGTTATTGGCAAAATCATAAATACTGAATTCGGGTCGTTCTACAAACGCCCATGAGTGTAAATTTGGGTTAGGCTTTGGTAGGGTAGAGGAAGAGAATAACTTTGTCAATTACTTTTGTATCCCTCTATCTAATGACCAATAAGCCCTTACCAAAAAATGAAATTTACATTTAAAATATGTTTTTTTTAGTCAAAATTGTCCATGAGATTGTCATAAGGAAAATTTTATTTAAACTCATGTAATCTCTTTCTACACCTAATTTAAATGTCAAATGTTTATTGTCTTTTTTACCTTATTGCGTAATTACTATCAACAACAAGAGAGATTTTTCAGTATGACTGTCACCCGAGGTGGTACACCACGTGTCCCTATATAAACGATGGGTTATGTGTGTTAAAAGGTTAATAACTTAAAAATAAAAAAAATTCACCACTTACATAAAAACATGTGATGAAAGTGACAATAATATATCGATAAACTCATCCACAATAATAAAACTCTACCATGACTCCTTGTTTATCATACGCTCATTCCAGCTAAAACCCTAATAACTTTTATAGAGAAAAAAAAGCTTTTTTTATCGCTGGATAGTAATTTTGAAGTTTTGAATTCTCCAACTAAGGTGTGAATCGATTTATGGAAATTTTTTGTTCATTTGATTTCAATATTTTTTTTTAGAGTTTAGAATATGAGTATTTGGGTTTCAATTATTTTTTCGTCAATCCCAGTGTAGTTTGAACTTTCTACAACAGTCGTAAGCAAAAAATTACGACTTTGTTGTTGTTTGTGGGATTTTCTAAAGCAAATCTCTATAAATGTCATGTTTGTTTCACTATTGAGTTTAACTATATAAAACTTCATTCTAATCCTTGACAAAGATGACTTTTAAACTAAAACCATGAGTAAGACCAAAATATAATTTTAGTCCCTTGATACATTAATAACCTCATTTATTAATTACATTTTTATTTTTTAATTATTTCTCTTTTTCTTCCTAATTTTAATGTATTGATTTTATTTCATTATAATTTTCATTTTCATTTTATTTATCATAATATATTTTGTTGTAAACATTTAGATAAACTAATTTTGTTATACAATAAATTTCGATGTACTTTGTCTTCTTTATTTAGGTACATTAAATTCATTATAATACATTCTGGTGCATGCATTTAAGTACACACATTTTGGTACATATATTTCGGTACAAACATTTAGGTACATTCAATATAATACATTTAGATACTAACATTTTGGTGCATATATTTCGGTACACACTAGGGGTGGGCAAACGGGTCCTGGACCTGCGGGTCAGGGTGGGTCCAAAAATTATAAATACAAAACAGGGCGAGGCGGACCGATTCCTTGTAAATAACAAGGCGGACTGATTCTAAAAATTGGAGAAAACGGGCCCCCGGCCCGAACCGTTCATTGCCTACTGATTGAATCTCTACCCTCTATTACCCCATTTCTCTTATTCTCATACCTAATTCACTCAACTCTCCCATCACCCTCTCTCTCTATTCTGACTCCTTGATATCGATCTCTCTCAATCTCCTCCCTCTTAATCTCCTCCCTCTCAATCTCTTTCTCCCACAGTCTCTCTCTCTCTCTTTCATCTCACCCGCCCTGAACCTAGCTTAACCCTTTTTTTCCTCTCATCTTCTCCAACCTTCACAAAGCATAACCAGGCATATACCCATCTCACCCGCCGTAAACCCAGCTTACACTTCATAAAGCATCACCAGCTATGCCACAAGCCATTGTCCACTCCCTTCTCTCTTTCCTCCAATTCCGGGCTTGAGCTATTGATAATTTCAGGTAATTTCTCTAAAACACTATTTAAAATTTCAAAGTTTATTGATTAACTATCTCTCTCTGTGGACGCCTCTGTCTCCGATCTAACAAAATGCATTATTGGTCCAGTTTTTTGCTTGGAAACGGCGCGGCAGCAGATGAAGGTCTTGATGTCAGAGACCGAGTCGAAGATCTGAAGGATGGGCGAGTCCAAGAGGCAATCAAAACCGGAAAAAAAATGAAATAAAAAAAGTAAGAGGACCTGTGTACCCATCCCGTTGTGGTTCCAGTGATCAGATTTGCAATACCCGACCTGTTTTCTTTTTAAGCGAGTCTAGTCCAGTCCCTCCAAATTTGGGCCCGACCCCGTCTGTGCCCACCCCTAGTACACACATTTAGATACATTAGTTTAATATAATACATTTCAGTGCATATATATCAATGCATATATTTCAGTACTAACATTTAAATACATTAGTTCAATATAATTACATACATTTCAGTACTAACATTTAGGTACATTAATTGAGTCTTTCAAGTTTGAAGAATTTAAATAAAAAATTAATAAATTAAAAAAAAATTGGTCAAAAAATAAATTAAAATTTGTTTATTAATAAAAAAATATTTAATGAGAGACATTAAATAAAATGCAAATTGATTATTTTGAATTAAGGACACATCAAGGAAATATGATCAATATGTAATATAACACCAGATTTATTTTAAATTTCAATCTTCTTAAAGGATTAAAGTTAAAAAATCCCGTTTAATCATTGGCGTGTTTGTTTCAAATACAAAATTATTAGTGATTAATTCCAAGAGTTCGGACCAACCGTGTCCATTTAGTTATTAGCTCTAAACAGTCACAATCTTGGGTCTTTGAGAAGATATAATAGTTTGGAACTGGTTATTCAATAACCACCTATGAAATGAAATCAAATACCGATCAAAACTAATTAAGATGAAAACTGGTTGGGGCAATTAGAATGCAGAAGGTAGATGAGTTAATATTGTGGTGGTGTTGATAGCAACCCAAGTAAATGGTTTGGTTGAGAGAGCATGAGTTTTGGTTTAGTAGAGAGAGAAAGCAAATGGTGTAAAGATAAGTTTAAATTTTGTTTTGGGAAAAAAAAAACTTTAAATTTTAAATTAGGTTTGGAATGGTAGTTTAATAAATTTGGATTTAAAGAGATATTAATTCTTTAATAAAAAATATGGGTGTAAAGAGTAAGTTAAGTGTAGAAAGATGAATAAAATTTCTCTTGTTATAACTCCTCATTTTGGTCCATCAGATTGTCCATCATCAATCATTTGGTCATTCTATAAACAATCTCTCTTAGATTGAAGAAACCACTAGTTCAAGTGGAGGGGTTGATTTGACAAAAATACCCTCAAATTAATGGAGTTCTTCACAGAAGGACCAAAATGATTGGAGTGGATAATCTCAGAGACTACTTATATCGATTTTAAATCTCGAAGACTAAAGCGAGGAGTTATGCCAGTCTTAAAGACCATTTTGATTAAAAAGTGCTTAAAATATAGAACAATTCAAATTGCAAACAATTTTCCAGACCCATTGATTGAATGGTCCTAGCCACCATAAAGCCTTAGGCCTCATTTGGTGGCTTGAATATGGGTTAGAGCATCTCCAAGGGTCAAATTTAAAACATCAAATTTCAATCTAATGGCTGACTTGACAATTTGACATAGGGAAGTATTATTGGCACTTCAAAAATCTCATTCCACATTTCTCACAAGTTTATTTTTCTTTCCAAATATAAAAAGTTTGGATTATATAACAAAAATAATAAAAGTTGGGTTGTTTTTGGTTTAAAAATAGTTAAATAATACTTAAATATACTTGCATTTAAGGTAAGGCAAGTGGAATGCCTTTGGAAATAGCAAAAATTATATTTGAATGCAACTTCAAATTTGACATCTCTTTGTCCATATCAGTTTAGCCTTCTTTTCCATGTTAGCTTTGACATCTCAATTTGAGTAAATTGTACGTCATTTGTTATTGTTATATGTCTATGTAGCATTTTTGGCATCTCGTTTGGAGATGGTCTTAATGAGGGCTCTTAGCTAAAATTTGTGGAGGATTTAAAAAAAATAAAAAATCAACTCCAATCATGCTCCCACTTGTAAGTGAATAATCTTAGGTTAGATTTTCGCAAAAGGCAAATTTGAACTAAATTATTATAGCTAATGTGAGGTTAGCTTACTCCCTACACCAGTAAGTATAGACAATGTCGTATGTATTCCAATCATTATCCATGTTTACCTCCTAAGACGGGGAAGGAGAAAGGAGCTTCTAGCCGAAAGATTTATTAATGTACCTTTGCGCATAAGCCAGTACATAAGGATGGCAACGGTTCAGTTTGGGGACGGAAATGTTATATCTATCCCCATAACCACGAAAATTAACCATATTCATAACCATAAATTTACCATCGGAGATTATCTAGAACCATACCCACCGGGTAACAAATATCCCATTAGTTAACGGTTATATTCATCTTCGTAAAAAAAAAAAAACAAATTATATTGATCAAATTGACGCACAATAATTTGGTAGATATTAATTTCGTCATTAAATAACCACATCCAATAATAAAGAACATAACAATGAATGAATTTTGCAGAGTATAAAAAAGGAGTGTTGAATAAAATAGTGATGATGTTGGTTGTTGATATCTCCCATAAGCATGATAT